CTTCCGTTTCCTTCGCCGACATTGGGTGTCCTCTGTCCCCCTCCCGCGAGCCCTCTTCTTTCCTCGCTGCCCGTCATCCGGAACGGCGCTCCTCGTCGCACCCCCGTCGCGAGGGCCGAGCCGTCTTCGTCCCTCGTCGCGCGTCGTGCTCCGTGCCTTTCTTTCTTGGCCACCCCCGAGCTGAACCGACAGGATCGCGTCGGTGTTCCCCTCTCGCTCTGGGGAACCTCCACACCCTGCCGCGTCTCTGTCGCGCGGGGTTTATCCTTCTTCTTCGACAACACTGGCTGTCCTCGCTGCGCGCACACGGGACGCTTCTCTTTCTCGGCCGCTCTCCACGTGTCTTTCTCCGTTTCACCGGCGCTCTCCGTCTACCTTGCCTCTATAGTCTTCCACCCTGTAGCATCCCTCTCCCGCCACAGCTTATCCTACTTCAACGCTGGCTGTCCTCCTCGCTACCCCACGGAAGCCTCTTCTCTTTCCGACCGTGCTCCCTATGCCGGGCGTCTTTCTCCTTCACCGGCGTCGTCCCTCTTCCTCGCTTTTCCACCTTGTAGCATCCCTCCGCCAGCCTTATCCTCCTTCAGCGGCGGCTGTCCTCCTCGCTACCTATGCTCGGAGAATAAACTCTTCCCTTTCCGATCGGCCGCTCTCTATACCGAGTGTCCCTCTCTTTCCAACCCCGTCTCCTTCCTTCGGTTCTCCACTCTGACCCCTTTCACCCCCACCGCAGCAGAGGAGCCACCCTCCGGTGTTCGCTGTTTCGTTTCGCGCCGCTCGCCGAGCTAGCTTCCTCCTCTTCTCGCTCGAAATTCCGCCCCACCCCTCACCTGGCCACCTGGAGGCAACGATGGAGGTGGCGCTGGTGGAGGTGGCAGCCGCGGGAGTGGTGGCAGCTTGCACACAAGCGTACCGGCCGCCGTGTACGTGCACGTCCTCCTGGAGAACGTTGGGACGTGCTCGTGCGAGCGTGCGCGCGCGCACGCCAACCCTCGCTGGGCCTCCCGCTCGATATCGGAGAGTCGACTCCACGACTCCGCGTTCGCGGATCCGCCATGTACCGGGTGGCCAGCGGGCGCACGGTATCCTCGACCCTCGCCAGCCGAGCGTCCCTTGGCAGTCGATCGACGAACGAGCTTCACGTAATCGCGACGCGCTCGCAACAGGAGGATTACGCGATGGGAACTGTGCCCTTTTCATCTGGGGTTAAAAACCCCTCGACGTATGAGCCGCTCATTCGACGAATCGATTAACCACCGCGGAACGGAAACCGGAGGACCGTGGCGCGATAGTTACTTGTATATTGATTTTTCAAGTTTCACTTTGAACGCGATCAAAGAATCGCCGTATGTGCAATGTATTTTAACACTTTGCACTCGAGAGGCGCCTTACAGTCGCCATTCGATTTCACGAGAACATTGTAGAATTGAGAATTCAATGTTAAATTTTATGTAACGTACGAACACGTGGAACATCGAAATAAAATAGCTCTGTCGCTTAATTTGCGCAAGGTATTTCTGTATGTTAATTGCAAAAGATATCATTGACGTTCCATCAGAGAATAATGAATATTTATTGAGAGAAATATTCTCGAGTGCAAAGGGTTAATTTGTTACAGCTTCCGTCTGATGTACGTGGAATATGAGGTTCGATATAGTTGCAGTAGTTTTAATTGTCGCAATTGTTACATGGGAGAAAGGGTTTTTATTCCACGGTACCAAATGTAGACGGAAATTTTTTAATATAGACGGTTCAAAGGGATTTAACGATGGAATTTTTTTCAATTGAAGAAGGATTAACGGATTTGGCTAATGAGTGGCTCGTATGGTTTCGCGAATTGTTCATGAATTCTTGAGGGCGCAGTGGTAAAGGAAAAATGGGTTGCAGGGTTGGTTATGTTGAGGTTTTGTTGATTGTAGGCGTTTCGGAGTTAGGGAATATGTTGCGGGCTATTGTTAGTGACGATTAAAAGGAGATTGTAGGGAACGAAGATGTTTGGAGCATGCTGGAGTGTGTAAAGGGGTGTAATGATTTGGCAGAAGTTTGTAGCTTTAATTGACCACGCGTGCAGTAGGTCATGGTAGATAAAGAGAGCGAGTGGGTTAAGGTTAAGAATGAGGGGAAGATAAGAGAGAATGTCTGTATGCATGAGTTGCTGCTATATCTGAGTGACAATGGCGGTAAGAGCTGTACAATAGGGAAATACAAATAGCATACTGGCCAGTCTAAGGGAAATTATAATCTCGGAGAGTAACGGTGAATTATTACTAAACAAAGAAATGCGGTTTCTGTTGTGAATCGCAATTCAAGAAACTGTAACACCCTTTGTCTCCAGAATATTCAGGAAAAATTACCTTTTCCAATTTACCTACATTCGTAAATTCACCTTTGCCACCAAAGTATAAAAACGGGATTATTCATCATTTCCATCATTCAAGAATTACCAACTGCCAATTTATATATTTTCAGATCATTTTTCCCTTTGAAATATTCTTAATTAGCCAAAGAACAGTTCCCTTTCAGCATAAAATATTAACCCTTCGCGCTCGAACGATCTTTCACTATACAGAATCATCACTTTTCGATGAAACATCGATATTTTCCACAACTGACCTAACCGGAAATCAGACGGATACCAAAATCGATCGATCAGGGAGAAGTATTTGATTCGAATATTCCGCGAATTGAACCGTTATACCACATAATTCAACCCATCGCCGCAAACGACGGCTATAGCCGTCTATTTTACGAACTCTACTAATACACTAATTTGTCAAATTAATCAAAAATGGCATAACACTCTAGATAACACGTAAGTTGATCTTACACACGATTCTTCATGACCTGAACAAGGCAAGACAAATTAAAAAGAAACAGTGCTTCAAGGCACGATATTAAATCCAAAAGTATGCATATAATTAACTGTAAATATTGAATTTTATCATTTTCCTATATTGAACCAAGCGCTCTTAAGTGCAAAGGGTTAACAAGCAATTGCTTCGAGGCACAGGCGAGTCCCTGAATTTTTCCAAGGTGTCCATAGGATTAGGGTTGCAAGAAGAATCGGACGCGTTCGGGTGGCCGTCCCACTGGCGTGGGCGTTATGAGATGCCGGCGTGAATCGGGTCTCGGTTCTCCGAATTTCAAAGATGCCGGGCACACAGAGCGACTCACAGAAAGAGAGAGAGAGAGTGTGTGTGTGAGAGAGAGAGAGAGCCCTTCCCGTCCCGACGTACTCGCGGATCGAAGAAAGCGGAGGTAACGCGAGGGTTGCGTCGCGATTCTAGGTCCTGAATGGAGAACCCGACTCGACCTACATGTTCCTTTTTAAATTGGAATACTGCTTTGCCTCCGCCTCTATCGGAGACACCGCCGTCGCGGAGGACGCCGGGAAAAATAACGTTTAATGCCCAAACTTTCCGCGATACCGTGGATATTGTGTCGCGAGCGGACCGACTATTACAACAATAAGCTCCGTTC